GTCTTGGGCCATGCCCACTTTCCGTTGCCAAATACTTGAAAAGCCATATTACCAAAAACGGATAGTCAAAATCAACCACTCGGACGATCATGTCATAGATGACTCGACCTCATAACTGAACCAAACCAACTTCTTCGAAGTAAAACTGCGGTTGCTCAGGTGAGCCGCTCACTTTTTCACACGCAGGCGGGATTGGTCTCTACCGCTTCCAACAGTCGAATTAACTCTTCGTCCGCATCCTTCTCCAAAGAAATGCAGAAAAACTACTTTCTCATCGAATTACGCGGCTTTGGTGAAACATGCAACCTTGCTGCGTCTTCGTGAACTTAATTACGGGTCCTTTCATCGTGAACTGAATCACGGGTTCCGCATATTTCTTTTTAACAGCTATACGGCCTAAAGGATCTAATCTTTTCCTTTCCAAAGTCGATTCAAATCCATGGAAGGGCTTTTCCATTGGCATCTTAGGAATTCGAATCAACTTTCCAACTTTGGGGAATTTTCCTCATCTACTCACTTCTTTTCTTCTCTTGCTTCTCAGCCCTTCTGGCTTTCTTCTCCTTGCGCTGCTCTTCCTTGCGCTCTTTCTTTTCAGCTTTTCGCGCAGCCTTGCGCTGCTCCTTTTCTTTCAATCTCTTCGCTTCCCTTTTCTTCTCCTCAATCTGCTTTCGGACTTTCTCAGCTTCGGCTACGTCCTGCACAGGGTTCACTCTCCTTTCTTCTGCTGCTCTCATTCTTTCGTTACGCATATCAATTGCTATTTTGTTCATGTCCTCCTTTTCTCGAACCCTGGACTGATAATTCGGCGTTCTTTCCAGGACGGAAACACCAATTTCTTCTCGTACTCAGCCTGCTTCTTGAGGCTATTCTGAGTCTCGCATCTAAACGTCTCATCAAAGAGATAACCGTGCAAGATGATATCCGACTCGGATTGAAGTTGGGTTCGTAGGTCCTCTGCTTCCTTTTTCTTCCTTGCATCTTCTTCCTTTTTCTTTGCTTCAGCTTCCGCTTCTGCTTTCTTTCTCTTTTCCTCTTCCTTCTTTTCTTTCTTTTGCTTCTTTCGATCCGGTTCTTCACTTTGGCTGACGCTAACGGATCTTACCTCTTTTTCTGAGCTCTGGGCTCTCAAGGCTTTCATCTCTTCAGCCTTTTTCTTTTCTTCAGCTCCAAACAGTCCAAGCTCGACCAAGTGATCACGCAGTTCTCTATCGCTCATTCTGCTCAAAACGTAATCTTCTTTGAGTCTGCATTGGCGTCGCCAATTGCAGCTCGAACGGTTGTGGTTAAACCACCCTGACCCGTACTTGGCCGGCTGTCCTTTCTGCACATGCTGCAACGTGTTCGCGTAGAAACAGCTCGCGCAGTAAAGACTGTGCTTGCGGTCTTGCCCCCCCCCCCCGCGAAGGGGTGTTGTTGGAGGTGTCTCCCTAAGCGTACCGCGAGTGTCAACATCATAGGGCAATAGAATGCCCTGTGTCCTTTCGGAAAACAGAAGAAACACTCTTCCTTGGTCACCTGCTCCTTAAACACTCTTTGGCGGGAGTCTCTTCCCATTACGTCCCACTGCTGCTGAGTAAGCTGGACGTAAAGCATTTCTTTCGGGACTTCTTTTCTGTCCACAACCTCCACAGTCTCATAATCATATCGCGCCTTCTTCTTTTCTCCTTCTCCTTCATAGTCACGGCGCTGCTCTTCCTCCGGCATCTTCGGCATAGCCTTCACTTCAGGTCTCTCGATCTTCACTGCCGGCTTATCCAACTGCACAGGAGCTTTCTCGCTTTCGGGGTCGTAACCGGAGGAGGCATCTCTTGGCTCCTCTTTCCTCCACTCACTGAGGACGCTCCTGGCTCATCATCATAAACTTCAATGGCCGGCTCATCTTTCTTCACAATACACTCGGCCAATCCATTTTCAATCTCCATCAACACATTTTCTCCTTTCTCGGTCTGATGGAGCATTTCAGCAAAAAATGCTTTCTGTCAGCGTCAAACTCGACATCTTGTCGATTCCGCTGCTTGTCAAATCCAACTCACATCCTTTCCAACTCAGGATGGCTCTCTTAACTCTGCGGCCCTCTTGGCCATTGTGTCCGGCCCCTTCTCTGTGGGCTCAGGTTCATCAGTAGGTGGCTGATACTCAGAAACTTGCTGCTCCTGAACATTCTTAACCTCGTCGCTCATATCTTCTTTTTCTTTCTTTTCAAACTTTTTCTTCAAAGCTTTCGAGGCTCTTTTCTTCTCTTTCCCAAGTCCCGGCACTTGGGCAAAAACAGCTGCGATCACACACATGGTCACCATGCAACACAAGACAATGCAAGTCAGCACTAACAAGCAACTTCCAAAATTACAAGACGTACTAATTTCAAAGTCTTCATTTTTCGCACCAACTTTTCTTCTTTCTACACTGATTCCCTCACCCATCAAAATTGCAACAACCTTTGCCATCACGCTCACACTCATGGTTTTCATACCCTTTTTCGTTCTTCGCACTTGGTTCTCTTGCTCATCAACAAGTCACCTCTGTAGCCTGATGCCTTCAAGTACTTCTTGATCTTGTCTCGCGACAATGCTTTCGTTCCCAAATCTGCAGGATTGTCAACACCTTTTATCGCTTTGACCAAAACATGCTTCATCTCCTGAATCCGAAGTAGGTAAACATCTAAGTGTCTGGCTTTTCCCAGGCCTTCTCTTGAAATCAACTGTCTTGATGAACTCGAGTCGATACACAGTCGAACTTCTGGTTCAATTCCAGTTATTCTCTCAATTACCTTCTGGAGAAATACTCCTTCGCTCATAATGCTTACAGCTGCTATAGTCTCGCTCTCACAGCTCGAAAGTGACACACTTCTCTGACGCCTTGACTGAAAATCTACCATGTTACCATGTGCAAATATGGCTCCACAAGATACACTCTGGCGGGTCTCTCTATCCGCCGCCCAGTTCTGAATCTGAGCATATCTCTATCTATTTTTTTTTGCGCGTAAACATCACGACTCTTGAACGGTTCATCTCCACTATTTCTTTTATCTTGGAAACTACATCCTGGACACGATGTTTTGTGTTACAAGTGGATGTCAGGGCATCCCTTCAGATACTTTCCAACGAATTGAAGTAGTTCCAAGTCGCCCTGTGGGGCTCGCCAGTTTCAGGTTCAACTTTCTTTAGCGCAAACATCCAATCTGGTCGTTCCGGCGCTAAGTAAAGTAGGATTCCAACTCCTTTGCGATACAAATGGTGGCTCTTTGCAAAATGCCTTTTCCAATTGAATACTTGCCCAATGCTTCCACAGACTTTGCATTCATAGCAATCTCAACTCCTTCTGATATGGGTGTAAACGTTCTCTAAACCCAATAGATCCATGATTTCTTTCCAATGGTCTTCTACTTTCACTTTCAAACCTTCTGCCTTCAGTTTCTTCACCAGATCTGCTTTTAAAAAATGATTTTAAAATTCATCATTCATAATATCAAAAAAATCCACCCAGATGATACGCTGGCAAACAATCAAATCCAAAGTGAACGCGCACTTTTTTCAACATGGGGATTGACAACCTCACGCGCACCCGACATCACTCTTCATCCAAGGGGCGAGTTCTTCTTAAACTCCCTTAAAGCCCCTTCAAGCCCCGAAAACGTCTCAAGCACCCTCAAGCCCCTCTGGCTTCTTCTTGCCCATCTTTGAAACATCTCTTAACTAGGGAGATTACCTTTGAAAGAACGTTTGAATTCTACATTGCCCAAAGCCCCGCAGTCCATGAAGACTGTTCCAAGCACGTCCACATGCATTGCCAACTGGCTTCGAAGACTGCTCAAGCAGGTCGAATGCGTTGTACAGATTCCGAAGCTGCCTGAAGGACTAAGAGGCTCGAAGATAATAATCACAAGTGCGTCTCTGGCCTTCCAAGTGAAACCAAACTAGTTTCAGTCTAAAGAAAGAAGAGTAAGTCTGTTTAGTGTTGCCGTGCAACAGGCAGGACAGTTCCTTTCCTTTTTTTTCAGCTGGTATCGAGGCACAGCAAGCAGCACAGTCCACAACCGGAAAAGTACATGCACAAGGGAATGGCAACACAGCTGCCGGCAGCTGCGTGGCTTCATCAGAACAAGTTTCCGACCACCTGCGCGCTGGTGGACCGCTTTCCGCTCTTTTTCTGCTTTCGAGCTGCTGTTTGCTGTGTGGCAATGCAAGCATAATGCTAGAAATGCTATTGGGCAAGAGAGAGGAAAAATTTCCAAGCCCTGTAAGCGTGCAGTTCCACAGAAAGAAGACGCTAGATTGTTTCCAAGTTCTCCCTTGAAGATCGTAGCCGCAGTCCCAGTTGCTACTGGACGTTGCATGTGGTGTAAATTCACATTGGCTCTTAGAAGTTGCTTTCAACTGTAGATATGTTAGAAACGTTCTTCATTTTTGTGGCAAAAGCGACGAATAATCAATGCAGAACAGATCTGCATTTCCGGCCATTTGGATGCTTAGTTTCAGTATCAGGAGGAAACAGCTTGAAGAAAAGCAATTGTTCATAAGGCAGAAGACTGTGAGAGCTCAACTGGCAAGTCAGTTGCGCTGCCNNTCTTGAATCCCGTTTTTAAAGCTCTTCAAAACAGTTCTTCTCGCTTTTAACGCTCGATCTTTTTGCACAAATTTTTTTTGAACCCAAACTTTTTTAGGCTTAAACTTTTTCAGGCTCGAACTTTCTTGATTTTTGCAGTTGGTAAACCTTCCTTTTGGAATGATGATAACCACTTTTCACATTCAAATTTGAATTTTCGAATTGTTTTAAAAAATTCTTTCTTGCAGATTTAGCTTGTTTTCTTGGTTTTGAGTCGAAGGCTTATTTGTTTCTTTTTTGAAGAAATCATCTGTTCGAGAATGCTTTAAAATCCATTTCCACTCCATTTGAAAATTATCCTTCCGAACTTCCTCTCGAAAATCTTCCAAAAACCGTATGCCAATCCTCAAAGTTTTCCTCCGAAATTCATTCGAAACCCCGACCAAACCTGAACCCAAACCTCATCT